AAGGACAGAGAATACAGACTTGTGGTTACCAGGGGGGTAGAGGGTGGGAAGGGATAGACTGGGATTTTAAAATTGTAGAATAGATAAACAAGATTACACTGTATAGCACAGGGAAATATACACAAATGTTATGATAAATCACAGAGAAAAAAATGTGACAATGAGTGTGTATATGTCCATGAATGACTGAAAAATTGTGCTGAACACTGGAATTTGACACAACATTGTAAAATGATTATAAATCAATAAAAAATGTTAAAAAAAAAAGATTTAGAAGCTGAGAAATACTGCAGGACTCCATGGCAGTCTTTGGAGTAAATACTGGCCACGTATCATGGCCATGAAACTGGCCCATTGTAAACATACAGATACAGCTGTTGACTAAAATCCCCAATGCAGTAAATTAAAAAACAAACAAACAAACAAAACAAAAACAAGATGGGAGGTAATGAGGGAGAAATACACATACACACTACCTATCCATCCCATGGACAGGAAAACCATATCAGAAATCAGAAATCAAAAATTCTGTTTATGAGTTTAAAAGAGACTAGACATAGTAGAGGAAAGGATCAGAAGAGCAATAGAAATGATTTAAACTGAAACATAAAGAAGAAAACAGGGTGAGAAAAGTGAAACAGAGCATCCTGGATCTGTGTTGGATAATGTCATATGGACTACCATACGGGCACTGGAGCCCTCGAAGGAGTAGAGTGAGACTGGGTCAGAAGAAGTATTTCAAGAGACAATGGTTGAGAATATCCTTGAGGTGAAGAATGTCAACTCACAGATTCCACGAGCTAAGCAAATCCAAACTGAGTGAATACAAGGACAAGCACTTCTAGTCAAATATACCAAAAACCCCACCCTAGTGCCATAAGGCAAGAAAAAGAGAGATGATGTAAGTATTAGAAAGGAAGAAGTAAAATGATCATTATTCGTAGACCAAATAAAGCTGCACCTAGAAAACTCTACACAAACTACAGTAAACTACCGGATCTAGTAAGTTTAGTAAGATCACAGGATACAAGAACAGTATACAAAAATTAGTTCAATTTCTATACATTAAGGATTAAAAAAATTGGAAAATGAAATAAAGACTGTTTAAACTTAGTTTTAAATCTTGAAGAATAACAAAACTGGAGGACTTACATTAATTTCTAGACTAATTTTAAAGCTACAATAATAAAGACGGTGGAATTGGCAGAAGTACACACAAATAGATTGGAGCTGAAACTGACTATATTTAAGGACAACTGAGCTTTGACCTAGGTTCCAAATCAATCGAGTGGGGAAGCAATCTTCTTAAGAAGTGGTTCTGTTACAACTGAATGTCCATTTGGGAAGAAAAATGAACCTCAGTCCTATCTCACTCCACTTATAAAAATAAACTTGAAATATATTACAGGCTGAAATGTAAGTGCTGGAACTATAAATCTTGAAAGAAATACAGAAGAATAGCACCAAGACTTTGAAGTAAGCAATGATTTCTCAGATGGGCACAAATCACTAACTATGAAGGAAAGAAAAATGATAAACTTCAATGGTTTAGGCTAACTTGTGTTCCTTTTGAAATTCATATGCTGATGCTTTAACCCCTGGTACCTCAGAATGTGGCTATATTCAGAGATAGGGCCTTTAAAGAGATGATCAGGTTAAAAGCAGGCTGTTAGGGTGGGTACTAATCCAGTTAGAAGAAATAAAAAAGTGGTTAACCTCTGCAGGGAGGGACAGAACGTAACTGGAAAAGGACACAAGAAAACTTCGCAAGGTAATGGAACGAGTCTGTATTTTATTTCGGATGGTAGATACAGGGATATTTGCACTTGGCCAAAACTAATGGAGATAAAGAAGACAGACCTTAATGTGTTTATGTAAATTATACCTCAATTTAAAAGTAAAAGCAAGAGTATTCGATGATCACTTTTCAACGAGGTTCTCTCTGTACAGATCAGAGTGGGCATCCACACGGGACCAGTCTTGGCAGGTGTCGTGGGGGAAAAGATGCCGCGGTACTGCTTGTTTGGTGACACTGTGAACACAGCTTCCAGGATGGAAAGTCACGGGCTTCCCAACAAAGTGCACCTCAGCCCCACAGCCTACAGGTAGCCATTCATTTTTTCATGCCTTTCTTGGTCTCTTCCCCTTCTAGAACATACAGTGCCTAGCCTCCCCCAGATGGGGGTAATGGAGGAAACCCATGCCTTTTCTTCCTTGCCACACTGTCTTCCAGAAGACTGTGACAGACAATAAATATTGTTGAGCCTTTGCTATAAGACAGTGTTTGCTCTCAAGTAGCATATGGTCCAGTGCAGGAGTTGGCAAGTTATAGCCACAGACCATAGTGGCTAGCCTGCTGCTTGTTTTTGTAAATAAAGTTTTATTTGAAACACAGCCATAATCTTTATTTAAGTGTTGTCCGTGGCTGTGTTCATGCTACAACAGCAGGGTGAGTAGTTGTGACAGAGACTATGTGGCCCCCAAAGCTGAAAATATTTTCTATTTGGTCTTTTACGAAGAAAGTTTGCTGACCTTTGGGTCCAGTGGAAGGAAGAAATATTCACAGATAATTATTTTTAATGTGTGATAAGTACAATGATAAAGATATGCGTGAAACAATGTGGTTCCTTGAGAACTTACAAGAGGTCCCACTCTCTTCTAAGTTCTTTAACGTACGTTAGTTTGTCTACTGCTGCAACAAATATGAAGATATATGCTTATTATCTACAGATGAGGGAGAAAAATCAGGCACAAAAAGGTTAATCACTCGCCTCGGGTCACAGGAAGGCTAGGAAGGGAAACAGCCTGGTTACAACCCAGGGGGTCAGGCATTAAGCACCCATTTCTCATGCCTGAGGGAACTCTAGTGTGTTGTGGACCTTGGGGCGATGGTGCCGAACCCAGGAAAGAGATTCTGTGTGGAGGAGGGAGGATTCTGAGCTGAATCTTTGAACAAGGGGTTCCAGAGCAGAATTTAGCCCAAACTGGGGCCTTGGAAGTGGAAAACAATCAGTACCAACACAGGTGGGGAGGAAGTGCAGAGAACTACGAATTAGCTTTGCTGGGGTGGAAGATAGTGGAGAAAGCTGTGTGTGCCTCACCGAAGGGCAGGGGCTTACCCTGTAGGTGAAGCGGAGCCCCTGAGGGGCGTGAGATCCGAGACCACGGCAAGGTCAGGGTCCTGCTTGACACCGACCACTCTAGGCCGCAGATAAGGGCAGGTCTGAGCATCAGGAAACGGGAAAGAGAAGACTTTTAGGAGTTCGGTTTGAACTAGAACATTTGTTGGTGGGAATCTGGGGGAGAGTAAAATCAGCTAAACTTGGTAATTGCTAGAAATGGGGGATGAGAAAAAGAGGGAGGAGCTGAATGCCTCCCAGTTCATTCTGGGCCAGTGGGGCCTGAATCTCACCATCTGAGATGGGACAAGGAAGAGGCTTCCAGTTCAGAGGGGCAGACGACGAGTTCAGGTTGGGAAGTGTTGAAATCAAAGGAACTGGGGAGCTTCTAGGGAGAGGTGCCATTACATGGATGGATGAAATTTGGAGTCAGGTTGTTGGCTGGGACCCAGACCTGGAGTAATAACACAATGGCAGTAATTAAGCCACAAATGTTGATGAGATCCCTGGGGAGGGATGCCGTGTAAGAAGAATAGTGGAAAGAACTAACATTTAAGTGGCAGACGGAGGAGGAGGAGCCCGTGGAAGAGGCGAGAGGAACAGAATTCAGGGTGAGAAGCACCCTTGTAGATGTTTTTATGGAGGAAGAATTGAACAAAAATGTCAACTGTAGTGACAGGGATTGAAAAATATTCACCGGAGGTTTGGAAAAAGTGGTTCCATTATTAGAAGTGGTTGTGGTAGGATGGGGGGAAGGGACAGGCACTGGATTGTGGGTTGAAAGATAAAAAGAAGAGAGCGTTTACATGGGACTAAAGTGGGGGATGATCAAGTGAGATGGATTTTACTTCTATTTAGGATGGAAGTGAGCTTAGCATGCTGGTAAGGCTGAGGGAAGGATGCAGATGGAGAGATGACTGATGGACCAGGCCCTGAGGAGGTGGGAAGGGAGCATGGGTGGGGCGCCCTTGGACAAGATAGCCTCTGAGATTGGGAGGAAAAGGGTAGGTGTGGTCAATCGGATGAGAAGTTGCAAGGTCTCACCTCTAATGGCTACAGTTTTGTGGCTGAATCAGGTCAGAGTAGGAGGCGTGGTCAGCAGTGTGAGGGTGAGGCGAGCAGGTGCCCAATGGGGGAACATGATACGCGAGGCGAAGGTCTGAAATCTCCACGGCCAAGAACAAGGGAGGGTGGCTGAGTGCTGAGCCTCGGCTGAGGCAGCTGACCGTGATTGTGAAACATCGTTAGTCTGCCCCGTTCTGTGGTTTTTCTCCAACATCCCTCGGCGGCCGGTAAATAAATGAAAAAGCCACCTTCTCCTGCGGCTCTGTCCCTTTCCTGGGCCCCTCCCTGTGCCCTTCTTCCTGTTCCCAGACTCCTCCCTCTCACAGCAGCCTTCCCAAGGTGGCCAACTCTCAAGTGATAGACCTGTGAGCTTTGATATCTGTGCATTTTTCTTTTCTCTGTGCAGAGCCCTGGAAAATCAGGGGTTTGAAATCATTGAAAGGGGTGAAATCGATGTGAAAGGGAAAGGGAAAATGACCACATACTTTCTGATCCAGAACTTGAATGCCTCGGAGGATGAGATCATGGGGAGACCTCTGACTTGGACTGGCCCTGCGGGTAAGCATAGGGAGAAGCCTCGTCGTTGGTGCTGAATATTTTTTCCACCAACAACTTCACCTGTGTTCAGTGAGGTCCTGGGGTTTGAGGGCCAGCGTGGGCATCCTCCCCATCCACCCACAAGCTGCCACTTTCGGTAACCAGTTTTCCCTGAACGGTCTTCTCTTGCATCCAGAATATTCCGATATTCCTTGATCTGGGCTGCTGGACCTGCCTGCAGGGTCTCTTGTGCATTTGTTTAAAGTTCACCCTGTCCAAGAAAGGGGCTTTGTCCATCAGCCTCTCCGGCAGCTGGAGATGATTTCAGAGCCTCCCTCTGTTCCTCAGCCTCAGGGAAGGCTCCAGAAGAGGCTTCCTTCACACCTTGGAAACTTCCACCTTCCCTTCCTCATTGTCTGCTGGCTTCCAAAACTGGGAAGCAGGACAAAATCCGTGACTCACTCGGCTCCAGGAATGACAAGAGAGTGAGATGAGGTTAAAACAACCCAGGGCTAAGCCAGACCAGGGATCACCATTTGGGTCACGATGCTCAAAAAGAAAGAAAAAAAGGAAAAAGCAAAGGCAGCAGCTGGAATCCACCAAGGAGCAAGGCGGCCTCCTCCAGCTGCAGGGCAGACCCTGTCCCCCGACACGGTCAGGGCTCCTGAACAACCGCCTGGGTCACCGCTGGGAAACGCTGACCCGAGGGGGAGACCCAGTAGCAGCAGAGAAACCTTCCTGAACCTCTGAAGCAAACTGGAGAAGGAAGTGGGTTCATTCCGACAGGAGCTAATCCTTAGCTGCTCCTGGGCCTGCGAAGGAAGCATCTAAGTCCAGAGGCTCCTGGTGTGTGTAGCTGATAGACGCAGGATGTCTCTTTGGGACGCACAAATTATAGCTACTGTTTTTAAATTGAGGCTATACCAATGAAGAGGTGGAAATTTGAAGAACCTGTAAAATTGTTTTGGTGACATTTTCGTTCTAATATTTGCTCACCTTAGTATCCCTGTGGGCTGTGATTGGTTTGAGCTACATTTTATTGTTGGATGCACCGGATAGAAAGTCTAAATTAAAAAGTGAAATAACTCTGGCTAATAAAGACCAGGAGGCACCCTCTTTTGAGTTTCTGAATTTCTAGGCTCTGGGGACCTCACCCCCGTCCCATCACCTCCTCTCTCTCACCAGCACATCGTCCCCAGGACTGAGGGCTGCTACAGAGGGATAAACGTTTCCCTTTTCTTTGTCAGAAATAGACAAAGGTTGGGGAAGGGGTGGGGTGTCTTTTGCCACCTGACGGTGGGAGAGAGGAAGATGGAGCTGGAGGCTTTAGCGCCAGGACCGGGCAGAATCTTGCTCGGAAGGTGCACCTGCCTCAAACGCAAGACTGCTTCCTCCCATTTCCTCTGCAGAGAGGTTTTCACAAACTGGAAATTTGAGAAACGGGATTCTAGAACATGGTCTGGGCTGGTAGAACCTAACTCACTTTCAGTTCTGAGCTGGAAACAAACAGAAACAACAGAGAGCAGGAAATGGGTGAGGGTGTCTCGGTTGAAGATCTCAATCTGGACCCCGAGAAAGGAGGGAGGGGACAGCCCCTCTCAGGCCCTAAACACTATCTTGGTGCAAAGTGGGTAAAGGCACCCTTTGCAGGTAGGCAGCCCAGCCCCTTGAGCGTGGCTTATAATAAGGTCACCCCTTCCTCCGGGCGGATGCCAGCCCCCAGCCCCACTCCTGGCCAGTGTCAATGTGCAGAGAAACACAACCCTGTACGTGGAACCCAGAAGGTGGGGGGTTCCACCTTTTTTTCTCCCATGCTTCTCTACATTTCCCTCATCTTTTCCCCATCAGCCTAGCATTTCTGATGTTGAGCCTTGGCTATCAGGCTCTGGGGAAGGGGGGCATCTGCCTGTCTCTGTGCCTGCCCCTCCTGTCCCCACCGGAGCACAGCTCCAGCAGGAACAGGAAGGCCAGGGTCCCTCAGGGGAGACCCCATGCCGACCCTGCTCCCTAAGTGACCGAGGGGCTGGAGGATGTGACCCCGTGAACCTCTAGGGGCATGAAACTTACCCCACGAGCCAGATGGGCTCTCAGAGCCCACGGTGAAGGGGAAGGAACTCTTCCCAAATCAGCTGTCCCCTTGTATCAGCTCCCGGAGACACATGCTGACTGGGCACGACTTGTGGGGGTGTGGGAGGGAGACCAAGAGGTTGAACTTGAGGGGACTGCAGTGTGCAGTAAGACCTGTCTGACCACGGCAGTGCGGGGAGAGGGGGCCTGGGCAGTGTCCTTCCTGTGTTCCCGGTGCCCTGCAGGTTGAGAGCCCCACGGTTGCCGACATTCAGAGAAAGGCCCCACCTGACACGTGCTCACAGGCCTTCCCCTCAATTTTTGTTTTTGTTTTTTTTTTTTGTCAGAAGTAAGTGCTCAGGAAAGTCAAGACAGCAAAACTCTGGCCATCATGAGGTATGCAGACAGCTGGCAGCTGCCCCCCAAGAGTGACACAGCCAGCGGTGAGTACCCTGGATGTGATGGAGACCCCCAGCACTGCAGCTGGGCTCCCAGGGGGTTGGGGAAGAGCCAGAGAGGGGCGGCTCAGGCGGAGTTTGGGGCCCTTGAATGATAGCTGTGTGTTTTGAGGAGGTTTTTTACTTTAATACTCCCCTAACCTCCCCACCCCAAGTGCCCCAAGGGATCCCTCATTCTGAGAGGGTCCTCTCTGCCCGCCTCCCAGAGAACATCTATGTCTCAGAAACACTTAGTCTCCATGAACCCTCAAACCGACGTTTCTCCGGACATGGTGCCCTCAGGAGCATGCTGCCTATCGATGAGGGGTGCTGGATATCCCCAGCCCCATCCCCATCACCTGGTGCTGCCTAGCACTGACCTCAGGGCATTGACACCACCACAAAGCACGGCTCAGTGCCATCTTCTCTGCTCTGTCCAGAAAGATGGCAGGGGTGAGGGTTCCTCTCAGGTCACACTTACTCTCCAATGTTCTGGTGAGCCGCTCAGCTTCCTCGGGAGCCCGACTCAGGACAGACAGCCAGGTTTTGAGTTCGGGGTCACAGAGCAGTGCAGAAGGACAGGGATGGGCCCGCAGACTGCACCCTCCCCTTCTCCCTTCCTGGCTTTGAGCCGTTGGCACTCGGCACTGCCCCAATGCCTGTAGATGTCCCTCTACTTTGACCCCAGAATGAGGTTGAGGGAATGACCAGCACACTTCTGTTCAACTCCACTGAGAGGAGACAGAGCAAAACTTGCCTCTCTCTGATCCGGGGGCAGGTGGCATCTTGGATTCAGGCATGAGAAGCTCAAAGTGGACTTCCCGCCATCACCCAGAGGCATTTCCCTCCCCCTCCTCGCTCCCTGCTTGCTTACAGTTGCATGTTTCTGACACTGTTCAAGCCCTGAGGAGTCACCAACGCTAATACAGTTTGGAATGTAACGTTCATAGATTGGTTCAACAGCGTTTCCAGATGCCCCAGGAATACAGTGGGTTGAGGCCAGGCACTACCGTGGGATCTGGGGTGTTCCTTGAACTGAACACAGGAGGTTTCTGCCTTCACACAGCTTGGGTTTTAGTAGAGGGAGACAGACAACCTGTCACAAAATGAATGAGATCATTTCTGGTTAAGAAGAAAATAAAAGTGGGTAATGGAAAAGAGGGCCAGTGAAGGCTTCCTGGAGGGGGCAGCATTCAAGCTGAAATGAGCATGAAGGGAAAGAGCCACGTGGCTGTCCAGGTAGGGGCTTCCAGGCAGTGCCACGCTCTAAAGCGGACACCAGCCTGGCAAGTTCAAAGGAGAAACAGGAGGCCAGCATGTCCAGAGAGGGGTGGGAAGGGAAGGGAGCGGGAGCGGGGGAGGTCGGGGAGGTGGGCCTTGGACAGTCTGGCTGCGCACCTCCCTGTCCACACACAGGAAGTACGGGGCAAGCTGAGGAGCCGCTGGGTCAACACGGGAACAGCCAAAGCAAGAAGACCTCCGCTATTTGTATCCGGAAATGGCTTCTGCAAAACAGCTCAGAGGAGCAGGTCTAAGAGCTCCTGTTCCAGGAAGGTGAAGCGATTCATTTATCAAACTGCTGCTGCATGGGAGGTCCCTCCACAGGGGAAGCCAGCAGGGCTGGACATCTCACTTAGAGCTGGGAGACAGACATTTCTCAGCCTCTTCTAACTGTTGCTTTCCTGGACAAAAACCAACACCAACAACTAGAGAAGGAAAAACAGGCCACCTCAGATTTGGGGGGTCAACTGGAAGGCGAGAGAACTGGCATTTGTCGGGCAATTGCTTTGTGCTGGGAGTTTACCCACAGGATGGCATTCGGTCCAAGTCACGTGTTACATCCATCACATGACTGGTCCCATAAGAAGTAGGAAACTTGAAGTTCAGAAAGGTTACCTGAGGCCGACCTCATGGCGCAACGGTAGCGCCTCTGACTCCAGAAAGGTTATCTGATATCTAAGGTCCCACCACTAGCAGGTGGAAGGCGCAGGCCTCGCTCTCCCCGCTGTCTGTCGGGGGCGGCCCGTGTCCCCGTGAGCCCTCCTTCAGTAACAGACCAAATCCATTCCATGGTTTCCCCCAGCGGCGGAGCTGCACTGGGACTCCTGGGCTTCAGGATGGCCCAGCCATGTCTTGATCAGATCCTCTGGGCCCCACCTGAACAATTTCTGACCGTTGGGTGTGGTTAGCAGAGGTGTGGCTAAGGAATCCCTCACACGCTGGGGGCAAGTGGGAAACAGCGCCGCGTGGGCCCGAGGCTTGGAGCTGTGAGGACAAAGCCAGCTGGGCCACTGGCCTCCGTGAGCTACCCCAGCCCAGCCCTCCTGAGGCAGGAGGCGCGTCTAACAGCTTCTGCAGGTGTGTGAGCTCCCCAGGCTTCTTGCCTCTGATGGTTGTCAGGAGACAAAGGGGATTCGTGTCACCTCCCCCAGGACCTGCCTTTTCCTTCTCATCCTGATCTGGGTCCCAGTTCTCCTGGGTTTCCGGCTACATCTGATAACATCCTGCTTGGCTCTGAGGTCGAAGGCTGCCTCTGCTCTGGCCTCCATCCCCAGGGCTGTTCCCTGGCCCCTCTGTGGGCGTCATCACAGGGGAAAGCGTTTCTGTCACTAGCCAAGCCTGTCCGCTCTCTCTCGGAAGGTCAGACTGTTGGATCTCACTACCTCAGAGGCTGTTTCCAACCTCAGGATGCCAGTCAAGGATGCCGTCAGC